TAAGAAGGAAGGACACACCAACTCATTTGGAATTATGTTTCGTACTTCTTCTCAAAGTAGCAATGGTTTAGAAAAGCACGCTTAGTTTAACGCTGAGCACATATACACACACACACATTATAATGATTTAACACTTTGTCTAAGTTTATGGTCTTTTTCAGCAGCAACATCCGACACCACTACTTATCAGGTAGAGACAAGAAAAGATCTATGAACATACTGAAAAATCAGTGATGCTGTGTTAAATTTAAATACAAAGACAGGCCGGGGACGGTGGCTCACACCTGTAATCTTAGCACTCTGGGAGGCCAATGCGGGCGGATCATTTGAGCTCAGGAGTTCGAAACCAGCCTGAGCAAGAGCAAGACCCCGTCTCTACCAAAACTAGAAAGAAATTAATTGGACAGCTAAAAATATATAGAAAAAAAAAAATTGGCCGGGTGTGGTGGCACATGCCTGTAGTACCAGCTACTCAGGAGGCTGAGGCAGTAGGATCGCTTGAGCCCAGGAGTATGAGGTTGCTGTGAGCTAGGACGCCACGGCACTCTAGCCCGGGCAACAGAGTGAGACTCTGGCTCAAAAAATAAATAAATAAATAAATAAATAAAAAGGCAGATTGAAGCATTATATAATACTAGACAATGAGAATTTTATTAGTAAAAGAGGTTCTCCTTATTAAAATAATTATACCAAAGTCTACTTAAATGAATTCATTTAAACACAGGGACCGAATTTTGTAGTTAATAGTGGACAAATATGTTGGGCATGGTGGTACGCATCTGTAATCCCAGCTATTTGGGAGGCTCAAGTGGGAGGATCGCTTGAGCCCTGGAGTTTGAGGTTGCTGTCAGCTATTATGACGCCACTGCACTCTACCAAAGAATGAGGACAAGGGCTTGCAAGCTAAGTGTAAGAAAGATCCTGTGTCCCTGATCTTATTGTTGAACTTCTTCAAATAGACTTATTTTTGTCTTCTGATAAACTCTTACTTATTTAAGTTATTCAGCAGCATTTTCTGTTATTTGCAGCTGAATACAATCCTAACTGATAACACCAACTACTGCTAAATTACATTATGCTTAGCAGAGATCAACAAGTACTGTTGGTTCTACCTTCAAAATCCAGTTATTCCTCACCTTGCCCACTGCCAACAACACCCTGACAGAATCCACCATCTTCCCATCCGAGCACTGCAATGGCTTTCTAACTGGTTTCCTGGCTCTGTCATGTTCCACTTCACTATTTTCAGCCAAAGTTATTTTTTTAGATTTTGTTTTTAACATGGGGTCTTGCTCTGTCACCCAGGCTGGAGTGCAGTGGCGGGATCACAACTCACTGCAGCTTTGAACTCCTGGGCTCAAGCCATTCTCCTGCCTCAGCCTCCCAGATAGCTGGGACTACAGGCAAGTGTCATGGCACTCAGCCAAAATTCATTTTAAAATGGAATCTGCATCATGCTACTCCTCTTCTTTAACCCTCCAATGACTTTCCACCTACTCAAATAAATGCCAATGTCTTTATTCTACCTTCAAGGCAAGTGGTATTGATCTGATATGGCACTCCCTTGACCTCGCTGACCCTACCTCCTACTCAAGTATTCCCCTCAATTCACCCAACCAAAATGACATCTTTGCAAACAGGGGGACTTTGTTCCTGTTCTCCCTACCTGGGAGATCCCTCCTCTATACACCATCATGCTAGACCCTTAACTCTCTTCACTCAAAAGCCATCTTTACTCTCTTTACTCTCAAAAGCTCTTTACTCAAAAGCCATCATCTCAGAGGCCCTTCCCTGGACACCTATCTCAAATGTCAACATTTTATTAACCCCGACATTTTCTAATCCCCTCCTTGCTTTGCTGTTCCTCCTTCACTTATTTTCAAGTTTCCACACACAGCACTAACCTCCTTTACTTATTAACATATTGTATATTTTACTTATCTATCTTGCTTATTGTCTATGTCCCTCATTAAGATGAATGCTTCATGAGGACACAGCTTTGTCTGTTCAGTGCTGAGCCCTGGACCTAGAACAGTGCCAGGCACACAACAGATGTTCAGTAAATATTTACTGATGAATCGTTACAAGTCAGATGA